TGATTTATTCATTTTAAGTATTTGGGATTTTAAGAGCAAGTGGAAAATGTGCTGAATGTTTCATTTCATCCAAGTGAAATTAGCAAGCAGTTAGACTGAATTTACATTCGTTTTAAACGCGGAGCCAGGCGCAAGTCGACACAGGTTGCGCGCGTGCGTCAAGCCTCGTCCATACTGCCAGATGCGCTCGTGGAGATTTGCGGAGCCGGGTGCGAGTATTAACGAGCATTACGAGACAGGCTGCGTGAGTGCGGCAAGCATGAAAGTGCGGGATTCACGCCGCGTGGGGCAGAGAGGAACAAAAACATCTAAGAATGTATCTTTTATTCTCCAGTACTGAAAACAGAACCGATAAGGGAGCTCTTGATATGAGCTGTGACGCAGCTCTTGCAAATTACATTTTTTGCTCATTGTCTGTCATTTCGAAGCTTAAGTTGCATACGGTTTTCTTTAGTTTTAATTTGCCTAACTATCGATCTGACCCAGTAGACGCCATAATCCCACTCTGTCTCTCCTCCATCCCGCTTTCCGTTTTTTATTTTTTATTTTTTTTAATGGTGGGTGTTTACGCAGTTGGCTAGAGCAGTGCTGATTGGGGAGAACGGAAGTGCGCTCACTCTTACCCAGGGCAAGTAAGACTGCAACTCAATGCTGGCAGTCATGCATATGCTCTGGAACAGAGTAATATCGCGTACACATCGCAGGCTTTGCGATTAGGAAATCGCAACGTCTCAAATCGCGATTTCGATTTGATTTCGATTATTCGCACAGCCCTAATGGGTAGTTCTTGAAAGATTCTTAAGAAGTTCTCTAATATATTCTTAAGAACACTGTTTGTATTTATTTATTTATTTTTCTTAAAAAGAAAAGGACAATTTTGGTGTTATCTGACATTTCGAGTAATATTAAAGTATTCTGTGTAGCTAGTGTTACTCTATGCTGTAATGCTTCATATTTGAAACAATCCAATAAATTCCTTAAACATCTTACCTATGGGGATTTAGACAAGGTTAAGCTAACTTTAAGAGGTTATGATCATTTTTAAGAACATTCTTTTTTCAGGAATTTAAAATCTCAAGCTCTCAAGTCTTGTCTTTGGAAACATCTAGAAAAAAAAGAAGAACAATAAGATGATAAAAAGCAAAGAATTTTAAGAATGTTTCATGAATCTAGCCCTCTGTGTCTTTGTCTATATGCTGTATGACTCAAGTCCATTTATCAGTATGAATTTTTCAATCAATTTTATCACCATCCAGGTTTAAATCATCAAAATTCGTAAACTGCATGACTTAAGGTAAAGGGTTTGTTCAAAATGAGCAAAACTACACTGTTAGCGATTTCTGTAAATTACACAGTATTTAACTGTAATATGAACTGTACTTTACTGTAAAAGTTATACACAGTACGTTACTGTATTTTAAAGTTGCATTATGGGAAATATCCTCTTGGCGCCATTAAAATACAGTATTTTTCATTTACTGTAAATCCAAATACAGTAAAAAAAAATGAGCGCGAAACCTGACCAATGACAGAAAGGCTTTTTTTCTGCTTGGAGAAAGAAGAAGAAGAAGAAGAAGAAAAGGAAGTTAGAATAGTATGTAATGTATATAATAGTTTAAAACAATGTTTTGTTTGAGTCGTAACTGAATCTGTGAAAATATTCAAATGTTATTGCAAGGATTACAATTGAACAATTAAAAAATTAAAAGTTATACAGTTGTCATTGCTTATTTTCAGTTAAATTATATATATATTTTTTCAATATGTTACTGGAGAAAAGACCATAAAATTACCGTATATTTTACAGTAAAAACTGTAAAAGTACAGTACACATACTGTAAATACATTTACAGCACGTTAAATGGTACTGTAAATATTAATACAGTATTTTTACTGCAAGTTTAATTTACAGTAAGTTACTGGCGAACTGCTGCCAGTAAGTTACTGTAATTTCTACAGGAAATTTTTAACAGTGTAATGGTGATTCTTTACACAGCAACATTACAAATTATTCATCTAGTAAAATATATAAAATATAAAAGCCTCATCGACCATTTATATGGCCTACTGGAACATCTCTGACCCTCTAATGTATCTATAGGCTCTCCAGCATGACCTCTGCTCATCCGTGTGAGACAACCTGGGATGTATGTTATCATACCTGCTGGGATTCTGATGAAATTTTGCTGTGCAATTACCTCCTGCTGTTTAACACACACATGGGAGTGCAGATGGATGAGATAACACAGCCTGCACATGAAAAAAATAATCGAGCAAGAGGAAAACAACCGACAAGGTTGTTTGTTTGATGTGTATTGCTGTTGCACGTGTGCATTAAAAGAACAATGCCCTGCTTGTGAGGTTTATGGTAATCTGAACTGGTCGCATGGTCGCATTCGTAAGACTACAAACGAAGTCCAGCAGAAATATTACCTGCCCAGTTTGAACATTTCAAGAAACTTTCAAGTTTTACAGCCAAAAAATGCAAAACACTTTGTCAAATGCAGCCCCAAAATGCTTCAGGGGAAAAAAAACCTCTGCCTGCCGTTTCCCTTTCCTGTCTGAGTTGCTGAAATCACTCAATTAAACTGTGCCAGTAGCCATGAGAGCTATTCACAAATCACGAAGCCCTCGTGCTGAGCCGCACTCCACCACAAGATCGAACAGCTGTCTTATCTCAACTCACAATCGTCCTCTCGGTCCAAAGCACAGAGAACATCCGACCCCTCCGAACCCAATCCAAATGCTCCGCTTGTCTAAATATAAATCATTTATCTGAATAGTTCAAAATCAGATGAATTGAACTGTACAAGCGAAGCAGTTTGTTGAAAGGAAGCGAAGCAAGTTTGAAAAGAAAATGTCTGAGCTGAGCGTGCATCTGTTCTCAGAAAAGATCATCGCGATTATAACGTGACCGATTTTCCTCTATGTCCTTCCAGGAATATACACATATAATCACAATGCCGTGGCTTTGTGTGTCTTTTATTCGCCTGTTCTTAAAGAAAAAAAATATTAAGAAACAATTGAAATCCGGCCTGATTTCCTAACAATATTTGGTCTTTATTATGCACATTTTTGACTAATAAAGTCCTCATTTGCTAAAACTTAACTAATAATATACTGTATATTCTTAAAGGGGTCATATCATGCGATTTCAATTTTTCCTTTCTCTTTGGACTGTTACAAGCTCTTGGAGCATAAAGAAGATCTGTAAAGTTGCAAAGAATCAAATCCTTGCAGTCTCAAATTTTATCCATTAAATATCATCTCTGACAATCAAAATGATATATTCAAACGTTTTTTCCTCAGTGAAAAATATTTCTTCATTCCTCAAAATAGCTTTAATGTACACTTTATACCCTTAAAGGGATCGTTCACCCACAAGTGGACGCCACAAATGGCGGTATTAAAGGCCTTCTGAAACGAATCGGTGCATTTGTGTAAGAAAAACATCCATATTTAAAACTTTATAAACCGTAATCTCTAGCTTCTGCTAACTGGTACGTGCATTCATGAGAGAGTGGCGTCCAGCGGATGATGTAGGACGTAGGCATAGCGTAAGCTCCGGTGAGAATATGCTTGTCTCGCAAGAACCAAGTTTTGTTTACAGCAAAGCAAAACCAGTCTCCTCTTGCCTTATATCGAAACTGTTCAACTTTCTTTACAAATCCTCATTTTGTACTTCTAATTTGTGACCGGTGTTTTGTTTTGCTCTCTCCTCTGCGCTTCTGCATTCGCCATCCGCTGGAATGCCACTCTCTAGTGAACATGCTTACGACAGTTAACGGACGCTAGAGATTACAGTTTATAAAGTTTTAAATATAGATATTTTTCTTACACAAATACATCGATTCACCTCAGAAGGCTTTATTAACCCGCAGGTTTTTGGGCTTCAAAATCTCAACCCCCATTCACTGCCATTATAAAGATTGGAAGAGCCAGGACGTTTTTTAACCTCTTAACTGTCACCACTTGATTTTCACCACAGGGGGTCTTTAAGCCACAAGAATTCAATATTAAATTCTCTAAAATGACACCTGCACACCATTAAAATGTAAAAGGGCGGAGCTTAGTTATTAAACAATGAAATACACTTCCCTTAGGACAGTGGTTCTCAAACTGGGGTACGCGTACCCCTGGGGGTACGTGAGATGACGGTGAGGGGTACGCGAATAAAATTCTGAGTTTTGGCATTCATTTAATACCCCAACTTAAAGCAACATTAAAACCGAACGTATTTCTGACAAGCAAAATGCCGCTTCTAATGTAAAAACAGAAAATGGGGGTCCCGTAAACGGTCATGATATCCAATCAGCTTACCTCATTTTTTGCAGTCAAAACTGACTGCATCCACACAAGCAGCGTGCATGTGATAGGATGGCCAGGGAATATGCTGCTTTAGCAAATCGCGCTGCTGTTCAATGTATCTTTAAAGTAGATCACTTAATAGCATGAAGAGCAAATATTGACACGCACTGCACATTGAGATCGATTTAAACTCTCTTCGATACAGACACACTCTGTGCATGTTATTGTTTTCATGTTTAAGATACGAGCAAGAATGCAAATTTCCCTGAATATCCAAACGATGGCAAATGTGCCATTAATTTTTACAAC